ATTCTCTTAAATGGTTTTACATTGTTTAGATATACTTAATGCTACAGTATATGAAGTTGTACTCAAGGACTTCAGGGAGGGAGTCAATATGGTAACTATTTTTGGGTCAGGATTATCTGGTGGTGAAACACTATTCTGCTTAAATGGTTATGTTTTGATCTGCCCTGTTTCGCTGTTATGCCCTCTTTTTTCTCAATCTCCACTCCATTATTTACTTTTTTATTTTTATCCATTTAATTAAAGGGAAAAATATAGCAGGATATAATATAGTAACCCACTTTGACTTTCTATTATCTCGATTTGAAGCCCTGTATTACTCTCACCATCTTGTTTTTGACTGAGGTTCCTCTATTCTGTTTTGCTGGATAGTATCAGGTTCGAAAGTTTAGGCATCAGCTGAGAAGATAATGAGATTCATTATAACGCCCATTCTCGTTGACTTTTATCTACTTTTGAAGACCTACAATATCTCCAATGTTTTGGTTTTGTCGGTTTTATTCTTTACGGTTTTGTTCAATTGTATTACAACTAATGATATAGGCAATTCTATTAGAAATAGCGGGAGGCATTATGGTAACCATTGTTGATCACCTTGTATTATGTTTTTATATTATCTATTATATCCACCCTTTTGACTTGACCGATTCTGTTCTGTTATGTCACATTTGGTTTTACTCTCTTCCAAAAAAGCAATACGAACCGTGGGAGCAATGAAACCCAAAATGTGTAATAGTCACTGTACAAAAGAGAGGAAAAGAAAGTGCTCTAAACTATATAACTGCATGTATATTTAAATGTATAAGATAGAAAATGATATCACAGAGTTTTATTGGATCATTGAACAGAACTGTTTGCAGTATCATTGTTGAAATGTCCACTCTACAAGCTTTAATTTTGTGACTGGAACAATTATTTCTAAGATGGCAATATGTAATCCATTAACTAGTGATTTCCTACTGCGCATTTTTTTCTTCTGTAAATCTGTATAACTGGTACCCCTTCACTGTTTTTTTTTCTTTCTTTTCTTTTCTCCTTAAATAAAAAAAAAAAAAAGAAACAGATCACTTACAAGGGAACACCCATCAGAATTACAGCAGACTTCTCGGCACAAACCATCAAATCACGAAGATTGTGGGGGGAAATAATTCAAGCTTTGAAAGATAATAACCTCCATCCAGGATTGATATATCCTGCACAACTGTCCCTAGAAATTGATGGAAAAACAAGGTGCTTCCAGGATAAAGAGGAACTAGGGGAATTTGCAACCACCAATTCAGCTCTACAGAAAATACTGCAGAATATTCTAAAAAGGGAAAATACCAAGATTCCAGAAATAGTGGCAGAGAGGCCACAATGAATGGAGCAGAAAGCAAAATGAAGAAGACAAACTGACAACAAACGACAGAAAAAGAGCTCAACAGAAATGAGGCAGAGAAGATTGGATGGTAGGAACAGCTATTTTGGAGAAAACAAGACATCATAATAGCTAGTGCTGATTTAGTATCATCTTGTTTTGACGTCCCATCAAGTTTTTATTCTTCTGTCTCCATCGGTCTTAACATGTTGTATCTTATTGGATTTTATTATATGTGATAATATAAGCAAAAACTTTTATAGACAAGGAGATTATACATAAACCATTGTTTATTTTCTGTTAATTGGTTCTAAATACCCTGTAATAATGTCATTCTCTTGCATGGTTTTATAGTGTTTTGATATGTTTGGTGCTACAGTATACAAAGTTATACTCAAAGATTTCAAGGAAAGAGACACTATGATAACTACTTTTATGTCAGGATATCTTGTGGTGAAAAACTATTTTGCTTAAATAGCTATGTTTTGACCTGCACTGTTCTGTTGTTATGCCCTCTTTTAACTAAATCCCCCCCCCCTTTTTAATTCTTTACTTTTTTATCTTTTTAATTTAAGGGAAAAATAAATAAAAAATAGCAGGATACATTATAGTAACCTACTTTGATTTCCTATTAACTTGATTTGAAATCCTGTATTGCCCTCACCATCTTGTTTTGACTGATTTTCCCCTATTCTGCTTTGCTTGATAGTACCAAGTTTGAAAGTATAGGCAACAACTGTGAAGACAATAAGATTCATTATGACACCCATTCTGGTTGACTATTATCTTCTTTTAAAGTCCTGTAATGTCTCCAATGCTTTGGTTTTATTCTTTACTGTTTTGTTCAATTTTATTATAATTGGCAATTCTCCTTAAGATAGCAAGAGGCAGTATGGTAACCATTGTTGATCATCTTATATTTTGTTTTTACATTATCTATTATGTCCATCCTTTTGATTTGACACACTCTGTTCTGATATGTCACATTTGGTTTTACTCTGTTCAAAAAAAGTAATAAGAACTGTGGGAGTAATAAAACCCAAAATGTGTAATTGTCATTGTACAAAAGAAAAGAAAAGAAAGTGCTCTAAAGGTTATCACTGCATGTATGTTTAAGTGTATAAGATAGATAACCATATCACTGAGTTTTTTTGGATCACTGAACAGAACTGTTTGCAGTCTCAACTGTTTGAAAGTCCACTTTATATGCTTTAATTTTGTAACTTGAACAACTATTTCTAAGATGAGACTATGTAATCTATTAACTAGTGATTTCATACTGTTTATTTTTAAAATTTTGTATTAGTTGTACCCTTTTTCTGTTTTTTTCTTTTTCTCCTTAAATAAAAAAACAAAAAAAACCAAACTGATAGGTGAGCAAAGAGGAGAGAAAAGTGAAAAAATATGGACACATACAAAAATAAACAAGCCAAACAATTAAGAAAGCAAATGAGAAAGGAAGAGAGTCCTGCTCTTGGTCAGGAGCCTGTTCTCAGGGATGGTGGACTGGGGGTGAAGCCGCTCTCTGATGTGTCATTCTCGGGGTCCCACAGCTACGGTGCGGTCTCTGGGTTCCAGAGTAGTTTTCCCAACCTCCGCCCAGCCTGTGATCGCAGCAGCTCCAAGGGTCCTACTGTAATGGGACAGCCCTACCCTGATTCAGGTTTTTTCCTCCAGCCCTGATGCTCACACAGGCCAGCTGTCTGCAGGCTTATGGCTCCCACAGTGCACGGTGCTCAGAAAGGGGTGGGGGGAGTGAACAGAAACTGAGCCAGGACCACCCATCATCACTCCCAGCATCTCCCACTTCTGCCTTTGCCTTGGTCCTCTGCCTTGATCCTCTGAGTTGCTGTCAGGGTCAAGGTCACCTCAGTGCTGAGCGCTATGGAGATGCGAGGCTGAACCTGGGCTGTCTGGGTGGCAGGTGCTACTTTTAGCTCTGACCCATCCCTGGGTCTCCGTGGTTCAAGTCTCCCACGATGCCCGGTAAAATGGGACCCTCATGGAAATATCTGTTTCTGGTACTGGGTGCCTGCAGCAGTGTCTCTCCACTTCCTCTGTGTTGTTGTGGCTAAGCTATTCAGCTGTTTTCCACCTCCAGGGGTGTTTTACAAAATGACAGTGTCTAGACATGCACTTGAGCAGTGCCAAGGCACAGCGGTCCCCCCAGGTCTTTCTTCCTTCGTTTCTTTTTTTTAGGTGCTGGGAATCAAACTCAGGACCTCACACTTGCCACCCCCCCCCAGTTTTACTCTAGCTTTGTTTACTTCTCTCTTTAACCTGTTGGCTACACCGTACCTCCTTGTACAGCCGCACAACCCCTAAGTTAGGCAAATGCTTTAGATGCAGCAAATGTGCAGCTTCCTCTAGACCACCACGGTGCAGTTGCAGCTCCAATTTCTCAGGCTCAAATGCCTCTGCACATTCACCAAGGAGGCGCCCCACAGGGGCCTGACATCATCTGTGCCCCGGAAGCCCAGCCCACCAGCTTCTCCTCCAGGTGCAGGAGGTCCCGGACCCAGTCTGAGTGTGGATCAAGATCAGGGGCGAACCCTGCTCCATGAGGGCTGTGGAAACTGAGGCCTGGGGAAGGGACCGCTGCCTGCCTCGCTGCTCAGACCCCAGCATTGTTTTCCAAGTTGGCCGCCTCTCTTGCGTTTCCCTGGCTGTCTTTGTGGATGTTCATGGGTGAGGCACACGTGAGTTCATGTTCTTCCTCACCCTGGGCTACAGGACGCACCTGGAACTGTGTACAGGAAGAGCTCAAAGCTACACAGCAGACGCCGATGCCCCTGCTCAAAGCTGCAGGGGCTCCCTGTTACCCAGCAGGCAGAGCCCTCGGTGAAGAAGTCTGGCTTTCTTGAATCCCTCTTACACAATCCTCTGCTTCCCAAGGCTTCTGAGAGGCCCGAGCCTACTCAGAGAGTTGCACAAAACCCTGGAGCCTTGCCCAGAAAAAAAAAAAAAAAACATATAAAGGAACAGTTTTGAAAACTGTTTTGGGGGGCTCCCCCTTCTCTGACTCCCATCATCTCGCCTGCCTCCAGCCCTGCATCTCTCACCTGAAATCACCTGAAATCAGCTGCCTCACCTTCCAGCCCAGCTCCTGCTGCTCTGCGGAGCCTCCCACCCTATCCAGAGGGTTCCCTTCCACCTGCAGGCTTCTTTTCCTCCCTCCAGGCCACCCCATGCCTTACCACCTGTCTCACCGAGAGGCCGCAGTGCCCTCGCTGGGTTGTGGATCCTGAGAGGGGATGATAGGACACCCCCTGACCACTGCCCGATGGTTTTTCTCCTGGGGCAGGCCCTCAGTCCTTCCAAGAGTGCTGACTACCCCCATTTCACAGGTAAAGAAAGTGAAAGTGGTTTAGCAACTTACCTGTTGTCAAGCTGCAGAGGAAACGGTCACCTCAAGCAGGTCTTACCTACTACTTAGGATCAGTAGCTGGATGAAGGAGAATCTGTCCCCACCCAACATTCGGTTCAGCAGGGACTCCTCACCTCAAGGCCAGTTCTACTTTGAACTTTTTGACAAACAGCATGATTCATGCCCCTGGCTCATGGCTCGGAATATCAGGCCAACTCCATGATTCCACCTCACCGGCAAAAAGTTGCTTTGGTGCCAGCAGCCTGTGGGATGTATTACCTTGGCGACAGATGGCAGGGCCTGAGTCCAGCCCTGCTCCCTGGGGGCTCTGACGGTCCCACTGCCTTCCTCAGATAATGCCTGTGGGCCTCACAGGAGTTCAGGATGAAGAGTGCACAGGCCAAGGCCCAGCCACCCCAGTTAGAAACACCTAGGACGACAACAGAAACGGAATCTGTCACAGAACTGTGACTGTCCTGTGGCTCAGCTGCTTGCTTCAGGCAGCAGAACTCATCTGGAAGCACAGTCCCAGATCACAGGGGTTGGGGTGACCTGAGAACTTGTTATGATAGCAAACCTGCGGGCCTCTGGGCAGACCAGGAAGATTAAGAGACTGAGCAGGACAGAAGGGGTGCAAGTGGGATTTTAATGAGCCCCCAAGCTGAGTCTGTTGCAAAAAATATTTGAGAACTGTTGCCACCAACCAATCAGTTTACATGCTGTTAACTATCTTCCTCAGTTTCCCATGGCTGGGCCAAAATACCTGCCACCCGCAACTTAAAGAAGTTCCTTTGGGCTTAGTTTCAGTGGGTTCATTTTGGGGTTGTCTCCCTCCAAGGCAGAGGGATGTGAAGGAGGAAAGCTGTTTACAGAAGGCATCCAGGAAGGGCACAGGAAGGGAAGACCCAGGGACAAAGATGCACTCCCCTGGCCTTGTCCACCGGGTCCATCTCCTAGCAGCCTTTAGTTTAGTTACAAAGCTCCTCACAGTTTATCTTTTGATGACTACAGCACCCCCATGATCCAGTAGCCTTCCAAGCATGTGAGGTTTGGGGGTATTTTAAGTCTAAACCATAACAATGACTATGCGAGAAAAAGACTCAAGCACTAACCCTAAGGTCCCATCCCCAAACCCTCCCAGCGGCTGGCCCGAACCCAGAGTACAGGGAAGCCCATCCTCCCATCTGCTGTCCATGCTTAGGGTTCACACCCAAGCCTCACGCTTCCTTTCCTGTACAGTGAACCAGTCCCTGACACCTTATCCCCCCGGCCTGGGGGACCCACTCCTCATCTGCTCTCTGCCACTGCGTGCCCTCTCCATTCCCCTGGAGAAGGATGGGGCGGAGCCTGCTAAGCTCTGGGTGCTGGGGCAGCAGACCAGAGGAGTGACCGAGGGGGCCACACAGCAGCCACTGGGATGGGGGGACATGGATCTGCTCGCAGAGGACCATGGGAGCCCTGGGGAGGGCTGGACTGATTCAGCAGAGATGTCAGAAAGGGGGTCTTTTGCCTTGTAGGCTGGGTACAGCTCTGCAGGAGGAGTATATATAAATATTTTAGGGAACAGTCTTTTACCAGATATATCTTTTGCAGATATTTTTCTGCCAATCTATGGCTTAACTTCTTATGCACTTGACATTGTCTTTTACAAGGAGACGTTTTAGATTTATCAGTTGTTTTTTTCACAGACTGTGGTTTGGTATTATTGCTTCAAATGTTGCTTTCTCTTTCTGGTATTCACATTAATATAGGTTACACCTTTTGTGCTTGTCCAACAGTTCTTGGATATACTGTTCCATTTTTATTTTTTCAGCCTTTTTTTCCTCTTGATTTTTAGTTTTGGGAGTTTCTACTGTCACCTCTTCAAGCTCAGATATGCCCAGCTGTGTCCAGTCTATTAATGAGCCCAGCAAAGATGTTCTTCATTCCTAGTAGTATAGATCTTTAACATTTATTTTTGGTCTCTTTTTAGAATTTCCGTCATTCTGCTTACATTATCCATCTGTACTTGTATTGGTCACTTTCCCATCACTGGGACAAAATATTGGTACCTACAACTTAAAGGAGGAGAGATTTATTTGGCTTACAGTTTCAGTGGTTCAGTCCATGGTTAGCTGGTTTCAAACAAGAAACAGCATGGCAGAAGCATGCAACAAACCACAAATGCTGCTCAACCTGTAGCAGTCTAGAATCAGAGATGAGGGAGGAGCTGGGGAGAAGAACAGACCGTTCCATGCTGGCCTCTAACCAGGCCACTTCCTAACCACAGTAGAACTAATCCCCTGAGGAGTGTAGTCCCCACACAATCCAGTTACCTTTCAAACACATAAGACTTGGGGACATTTTAGATTGAAACCATAACACATATATTGTTTGCTTTTCTCATCAAATATTTCATCATATGTACCATAATTTAAAAAAAAAATTCTGCTTATAGCATGCATTCATGGTTCTGCTGCTTGTGAAGACCCTTCAAACTGTTTTAGTGAGTCTTGTAATTTTTTGTTGGAAGGTAGACGGGATGCACTTGGTAAAAAGAGCTGCAGTAAATAGGTCTTTAGTCTTCCAGTGAATCTGGCAGTCACTTTTGAGACTGTAATAAAAATACCTGAGGCAGGCTACTTTATAAAGAAAGATTTATTTTGGCTCACAGTTTTGGAGGCTGAGAGATGGCTCTGTGAGCCCCTCCTCACTATACAGAGCTGCATCGCATCAGGAGGGAGCTTGTGTATATCTCTATATTTCTGTCATCGCTTTCTGCTTCCTTAAAAAGCCACCAGGACTCAGTCATGGGGCCTCTACCTAATGACACAGTCTAATCACTCACGGGCCCCACCTCTAAACACCATAACTGAATTACGTTTCTATTTTCTTAACATCTGTAACATGGAATGGTAAGACTTCCGGGATTCATTTCTGCATGAGTTGGGGAGACAACCGTACTCACACCGTAGCCGTGATCCTGTGCCCTGCACTGTGAGCTTTACCCAGTGTTTCTGTTTTGCTCTCACACCCTCAGGTGGACAGAGAGACCACAGAGACAGGAGCTGGCCATTTCCTTTCTCCCAGGTAGGTTTGTCCTGATAAAACCCCCCCAGTTTGTGGTAAAATAGCTTCTGTGGCAGGCAGATCTTAAGAAGAACAGAGTGTCCTTGTGTATTTCAAAATAGTCCCTCTTCTCTCCCTCCATGAGAATCAAGAGGGGCTCGTCCTCTCCTACCCACTGAGAGAACCTGGTTGCTCTCCCAGGAGTAAAACTCGCCAGAGCATGGGAGACCCCACCCTGCACGCCCTGGAGATTTTAGCTCCAAGGTTCATCCGCACAGATCCTCCAGCACCTCCTCCAGTATGGCTCAGGTCTTCCTGGCCTGGCCGAGGTTTCCCAGGATGCTTTTGTCCTCCTCTAGGCTGATTTTGATCTTGAGGTAGGAGAAAGCCTTTCTTGGGTGTCTCGATTTTCCTGAAACTTGTGGCGAGGGCAAGGGAAGGAGGGTGGGCCTTGAAGGACCTGGACACAGGAGAGGGTGGGCCTCTTGGGAAGGGTGGCAGTAGAGAAGGAGAGAGTCATCTCTGCTATAACTCCAGTATCCATTTATTATGTGCCTCGCACACAATAAATGTTTTTTGAATGACTGAATGAGTGAGTGGTCAGAGGTTGAGAACCAGGTGTGTTTTGTGCCCTGGTGCCCTCTAGATCCTATCTTCATACGAGAAGAAATTCTGACCTGGTCAGACTCCAGTTCTGGGCAGCAGGGCTCCAATGGACAGCCATCCAGGTACTCACAGCAGTGACAGCACAGGCAGCCTCCACATCACAGGCAATGACATCCCCATTTCCTATGTGTTTCTTCACGGCCTCCTTCACTTTGCCCATCCTAAGCTCGTTGCCTCCATCACCAATTCCTGCAGGGAAGGGAAACTGAGTCAGAACACAAGCTTGGGGGTGGTTGTGGGGCAGGGTGGGTGCACCATAAGTGTCTTGTGCTCTCTAGGCAGCTTAGCGGTTAGCTCTGAATACACTTTCTGAGAACCAGGAGGTGTGGCTTCCCCTCCAGCACTTCTAGAAATTTCTCCAACTCTCAGTGAGACCAAGCTTGGGACTCACCATGTGTGGGCAGGTCCCCTCTTGGTTACCTTTCCCTGTCACAGGAGATTTTTCCCCCTTCAGGAGACGAGGGCATGGTGACATGCAGGGTCCCCCCTGGCGTGGCTGGCGCTCACTAGGCTTTGCTAGCGTTGTCACGAGATTGAGGCAGGAGATTAGAGGGCGACCAACTGGGTAAGCAAGGGAGTTTCCATAACCTGCCAGTTCTGGAAATCCAAGCCCTGAACCTGGGACTAACCAGAGAATGCTGTGTTCCCTTCTTTGGGAGTTAAATCAAGCAGGCTTCTGATAGCACGGCCTGGCTCTGACGTCAGACAGGGATATAAAGATGGCCATGAACCTGGCTGCCACTGTGTTCCCTTTCACGGTGCCCTGCCCTGCACTCCGTAGATTTTACTTCTTTTTCTACCTTTAAAAAACATAAAACCTCACTACTGTTTGCACGTGTCCTGTTCAATTCTTTGTTCAGAACAACAAGAACTTGGCAAGAGCCTAGAAGGAACTCATAGTACCCCAGAATCTTGGCAATAGATAGGGTGCTCTGAGGAGGCTCCCTGAAAAGGAGACGGGACCTCAATTCACCCTGCCCATGGGCGGGTTGTAGATTCACTGATTTATGTCACGAAAAAGAATTGCAGGGTGCGGCAGTGAGGGGGTGGATAGATGTATTAAGCAGAATTAAAGAAGTGCGCATGGAGAGAAAATCGAGTGGGAACCTCAAAAGGGAGGAGCATCGTGGCCTGGGGTGGGGCTTTTTATTTATGTGATCTTGGGGGTGTCCGCCTTGGGGGTGTCTGCCTGTCCTAGGAGTGTGTTCCTGTGTCACACACTTTTGTGGGCTGGGTTAGAACACAATGAATGAGTTTTCTGGAAGGGAAAAAAAAGCTTTGTAACTGGGTAACTTCAGCTGTGCACAGAAACTGCAGTTTTCTTGAAAATACAATCTGAAGGTTTGCTTTTCCTTCTTTTTTTCTGTCTTCTTCATTGTACTGCAGTGTGTCCTGGACAATATTCCTCTGGTAGAATGGGCTGGGGATGTAGCTCAGTGGCACAGTGCCTGCCTGGCAAGTGCAAGGTCTTGAGTTCGATCCCCAGTACAAAAATCAACAACAACAAAAAGCCATTTCACTGGTAGAGGTAAACTGTGACCCACCAGATGGGCTTCTGCTCAGAGAATGTGAAATGTGTATTTGTAGCTCTTTTTCTTCTACTTGGTGGTGGGCGGAGCTGGCTAATAACTGAGATCCCTAATCAGGAATATGCTCTCAGGGGTGGCTGGTTAGCATTTGAAAGAGACCACAGCCCAGAGGCTCCTCTGATCAGCAGCACCAGAGGATCTGTTAATTAGAATAATAAATGAGTGCAAGAGTACAGAAATATTAAAAACCATTTCATTCACTGGTGAAATGGATGATGTTCCAGAGAGGAGGTTAGGCTAAAAATAATTCTTAACTATTTCCACCTTTGCAGGATCAAGATTTTAAAAAGCCAGTCTGGGCAAATTAGCAAGTCCCTGTCTCTAAATAAAAGGGCTAGGGGTGTAGCTCAGAAGCAGGGTGCTCAGCTAGCATGTGTGAAGTTCTAGGCTCAAGCCCAGTGCCCTTTGAGGTGCTCTAGACCTCGAAGCTGCTTTCTAGCCATGGCTGGAGCACCTAGCACCATGTGTATGCTCAGAGTCCTGATCCCAGCTACTTGCAAAGCTGAGGCAGGACTGTTTGAGCTCAGGAGTTTGGGAACAGCCTAGGCAAAGTAGTGAGAGCTGTGTCAATAGCTTTTATTTTTTTTTTTATCGGTACCAGGGATCGAACTCACGACTGCCTGCTTGCAAGGCAGGTGCTTATGCCTCTGAGCTAAATCCCCAGCCCCCTGTGTGTGTGTGTGTGTGTGTGTGTGTGTGTGTGTGTGTGTGTGTCAATAACTTTTGATGCAAAGGATGTGTCCCAGTGTCTCAAGGACAGAAGACTGAATCTCTTGATCCTACAGAACGGGTGTAGCTCTGTGTTTTAGTAACTTGTCTGCTGAGACGCAATCTGACAGCCACAATTTAAAGGAAGAGAGGCTTGATTTCAGCTTGTGTTTTTGGAGGTCTTAGTTTATGCCTGGTCAGCTGGCGTCAAGGCAGAAATGGCATGGTAGACAGGCCTGGTAGAGTACAGCTGCTCATGTCAAGGCAGCTAGAGAGCAAACAGAGAAAGGAGGAGCAGGGGACAAAAAAAAAAAAACCTTTCCAAGTCACACCCCTGTGATCAGGCCCTACCTTCTAACAGCATAACAGCATATCCTGTGTTCCTGTGATTCAGTCACCTTCCAAAAAAAAAAAAAAAAGAAAGAAAGAAAAAAGAAAACTCTACTCCTGAGCATATGGTAGCTTTGAGAGTCATTCTCAATTGACCTCAGTCATATGATGTGACCTTATTATGATGTGCTGTTTATGAGTTTGCTTTTCTGTGGGACAGTGAAGTGGGAAACAATAGCTGACCCCCCTTAAATATCAGAAACCAGACAGCCAAAAGAATGGGACAATTGTGAAGGACCGAACACCTTCCTGTCACATCCTGATGATTTGTCTTAGAAAGGTTTTCCAAATTGATGCCAGCCCATTGAATCACAGAAAATATCACTACCTAGAAGTGTTCCTGGGACTACCAAGGGGTAGTCTGAAACCATGACCAGCCAGCTCCACCTGGCTTCTTAGCATCTCGGGGTGCCAGAGTAAAGACAGAGTCAATTCAAAGGGGGTTGGGGACAAGGGGCTCCTCCACAGCTCCTTCTCACCCTGATTGCTGATGGCCCTTCTGGGCCCTGAGATTCTTCACCCTGGGACTCCTCCCTAAAGGCCTTGGGTCCTCTTCCTGCCTGCCAGCCCAAAGTGACAGGAAGCTGGGCGTCAGCCAAGCCAGCCACACTGGGAGTGCCACACCCACCGACTGTTCCGGGAAAGGCCCAGCGCTTTGCAGAAACTTTCTAATCACTGTCTCCTCCAAACCTCAAAAGCCAAAGGGGCCTAATGTGTCTGGGAAACACTCCGAAGTGTTTGGATGGAGAGGAAAGGCACAGAGGACAGACAGGCCTTAATTACCCCAGGGTCAGAGATTGCCCCAAAGGAGGAAATTTCTTTTAGTGATTCCTGGAGTCTGGATTCTGCTCCTCATTCTACCAGCAAGCATAATCGGCTAGGCAATCTCAAAACATCTCTTGGCTCCCAGTTTTGGGTAGTTACTGCTCTTCTACCTGTCCTCCCACTCCTGCAGTTTTTCTTCTTTTTATGATACAGAGGTTGGACCTAGGACCTTTGCACCAAGTGACATCCTGTGAAGGATCACCTGGATGACTCTCTGTACAAAGAGCAGTTATCTCCACTCTGCTAAACCTGTCCCTAACTCTATGTACTGACATGTGTAAAGCTGGCTAAGCCATTGCCTTTCCCTTCAGTTGGCTCCAGCAATGTAAATAGGGCCAGCTGAGGTGCTGATGCACAATCTTTGAAGCCAGGCAACAGTCACTGTTTCCCTGACCCGTGACTCCCCAAAACATGGTTGAGCCTGCAGGATGAAGAGCCACAGTTCCAGGGCTGTCAGCTGGGTTTGAGCCTGGAGATAAATAAAATCTGGGCTGGGTCCTGGGTAGGGCCTTTGTTCTGGTGAACCACTATCTAGGCTGGACTTAGGACCCCCTTGACCCCCCCCTAACTATAAATATGTGTTAGTATCTTTATTCTCATTGTGGATCGCACTGGAAGTGGTAGATTGGAATTAACTCATTAGAATTCCAGTAACTGTTTCATGGGATTACAAACATAGACTTTATAAACTGTGACTAGGACCCGGAAAGACTCTTTATAACATCCCTGCCCTTTTTGTTTTTTAATTTTGAGAGAGGATCCTGCTAAATTGTCTGGGCTAGCCTCACACTTGCAATTCTCCTGCCTCAGCCTCCGGAGTAGTTAAGAACGTAGGTCCATGCCACTATACCCAGCTGCTCACAGGGTTTTTAAAAGGTGTGACTAACACAACAGATAGAAAACCTCTCTAATAAATTAAAGTTTTGCATGAACACTATCACATTATTATATTGATAACAATAATCCTGCAGAAATCATATGTTTGATATTTAAAAATGAGACTGTTTCATAAAATAATACGTAACACATTTCATCCTGTATAACCAAAATAATATGCTGTCTCTCAATTTTATTATTGTTATTGTTTCATTATTAGTCTTACTACTTCAGATTCTAGCAACTAGAATATGCTCTGTACGTGTCACTTTCCCTCTTGCTGTGGGAATGTCACATTTCTAAATGGCTGTGTCATTAGCGTCTAGACAGACTAATAAACAAAGAACAGCTTCGGCGTGGAAGATGATGGTCCCCGTGTCACTCTCTCCTGCCCTCTCTCCACACTTAATAGGAAGACATTTAGTGCTGACACGTTTGCCCACGGTTCTCCGAGACGCCCACTTACCCATCAATGAGATTCCAGGAATCTTCTGTGCTGGAGGAACGGATCGTCAGTGGGGTCCACTAAGTGCTTCAATGTCATCTTCCTGGTGTTGTGGTAATTGCCGTTGGCAGCCCATCCAGCATGCTCAATGGCCAGCAGGTGGGCAAATCCGCCAGGAAGTGAGGGCAGAAGGTCCTCCAGCTCTGCCTCAGACATGGTTACTGTATCATCTTAAGTCCAGCGTTGGGTCTCAGGCAACATCTTGGCAAGGGTCAGAGGCTGCAGAGAGCAGCAGGCCAATGGTCAGGGTGACTGGGCTCGGGAAGGGACAGGGGCATTGCTGGTGCCCCCTCCAGGTGCCCCTCATCCTCCCCAGACATGGGGAGGCCTGGCTGCTGTTGGCCCGCTGCTGCCTTCTCCCAGGATTTTGTTCGCCTTACAGACATGAGAGAGAAGGATTTGAAACAGAGGGTTTGTGAACTGGACACAGACTGAATTTCTTTAGGGAGAAAGAGAGAGAAATAAGGGACACGGTAGGGTAGTGGTCAGAATGTGACTGTGACATTCTGTAGTCCTGGCCCCACCCACTCTGTGTCCTCCTGCCATTAGTCTTGGGAGCTACCTAACTGATAGAACTGTGGGGCAGGCAGCGGCTGAAAAGATAAGAAATATGAAATATAAATGACCTTTATTTTAAGAATGCGGGGAGAGACCCCCGATTCCCCGGGGTGCGCGTACCCCCCCCCCCCCCCCCCCCCCGTCGGCAATCTCTCCTTGGAACACGTGGAGTGGGGGCATATCTGTAGCTTAGGTTGGGGGTGGTGCCTGAGGGGTATTAGGGATGCACAGGTAGCCCATTGGTACTCTTTTGGTGCCAGAGGTAAATTCCTAGGGGTGGGGGGGATGGAGCTCCTTGGTTCCGCCTGAGACTTTACTGGCTACAGTGTCCTGTCTGGGCCAAAACTCTTTCACTAACCTCTCCAGCCCTCCTTTCCTGCATTTGCAGGGTCTCATTGCAACGGCATTGTTCTCATTCAGCATTGGGAGGGTTCAGTGAGGAAACACACAAGTGATGCCTGTCGTGGGGCCACCACTTACTTAGGCTTCAGTAAGTGTCAGCTGCGGTTCATGTTGGTGTTATTATTAGCAGGGATGTTGATCATCTCATTTAAGAGCATGTGACCTATGCTTCTGCTTGTCTCTAAATCCCTTAAGGGTGGAGTTCTTCAGAATCTTATCCCTGCTGTTGGAAATTGTATGCGCCTCAAAAATTTTAAATTAGAATTACTCTATGATCCAGCAATTTCATTTCTGGGTATATATCCGAAAGAATTGAAATCAAGGACTGGAAGATATATTGCTACCTTCATGTTCCTAGCAGCATTATTGACAATAGGCAAGCCCATGGATTCAATGATGCACGAATAGGATAAATATACTTTGGAATGTTATACAGTCTTGAAAAGACAGGGAATTCTGATACATGCTTCAACATGGATGAATCCCAGAAACATTATACAAAGAGATATAGCTTGTCATCAGAAGATAATACTGACTGACTCTACTTATAGGAGGTACCTAGAGGAATCAAAATCATAGAGCCAGGAAGTAGAGTGCTAGTTGATTGGGGCTGGGAAGAGTGGGGATTGGGCCATTGGTGTCTAACGTGGACAGAGTTTTAGTTTGAGAAGATGCAAAAAGTTCTGGAGCGGGTAGTGGTGACTGCGGGATTATACAGTTATTTATTTATTTTCATCTTTTTTGAGACAGGGTTTCACTACGCAGCTCAGGCCAGCCTTGAACTCACTTTTGTAGACCAGGCTGTCCTTGAACTCATTTTCATAGGCCAGGCTGGCCTTGAACTCACGACGATCCTCCTGCCTCAACCTCCCAAGGGCTGAGATTGCAGGCATGTGCCACCATGCCTGCCTATAAATGTATTTGATATCACTGAACTGTACACTTAAAAGTGGTTGAACCTGGGGCTAGAATATAGCTCTGTTGCAGAGTCCTGTGTGCTTAGACCACGTGTCCTTTGACCACGTCCTTGTGCAGAATACTGTACTGTGCTCACCACATGCAAGTTCTTTTTTTTTTTTTTTTTTTTTATTGGTACCGGGGATTGAACTCATGACTGCCTGCTTGCAAGGCAGGTGCTTATGCCGCTGAGCTAAACCCCCAGCCCCAACATGCAAGTTCTCATGTATCAACCAATGCATTTAATGATCTAACTGCAAAGCCCTGGGTTCAGTCTCCAGTACCCGAAGAAAAAAAGGTTAACATGGCAATACATTTTAGATTATGTGTATTTCATGTCAATTAAAAAAAAATCTTAGCTGCAAATGTGTGGCCTGGTACTTTTTAAAAACCAAAAGCTCCACACCTGCCCTTGTCCTGTGGTTGGGCTGAAATGAAACCACCTATGCCACCTATGCCCTGAGGTGGAACCACCAGGCAGGTCTTAGAATACAATCCCGGGCCTCCCTGCCAGGCATAGCCAAGCAGCTGAGAACAGAATGAGCAGGAGGAAGAGGGTGTGGACCCCAGATGTCCCCTCAGCCAACCCCAGCAGTGTTGGAAAGGCCATTACAACAGGAGTTGCCAAGGTCAGCACCGATGCTTGTCTGGGGCGGGGAGCTCTTTCTGCACGTGACCCAGGAGAAGGCAGCTGCAGGTGTGGGGGGCAGTGGTGCTGGGGTCTCAGCCCCCAAGGATCCACTTAGTTTGGTGGACAGTGTGCAAACGTGGGGAGCGCTGGCCTACCTGCTCCCCTCTACTCAGCACACAGAGTGACCTCTACAGCACCTGCCATCAGGGTCCCACCAGGAGGACTTCTGACTTTCTCCCGGGAGCCACGGTTCACACGGAATACAGAAGAGCCCTCATTCAACGACCTACCTCCTAATGGCTTTCAGACTGACACCCTGTCGCCAAGATGTAAGACCCATCTTTTTTTTGTGTGTGTGCATTTGCGTACATCTTGGTCACGAACCTCAATGTCTTTATTTGGGGGGTACGGCTATACCTTCTGGTTTTTTTGGCACAGTAGACCTTGTTTGCTGATATACTGTAAGTACCGCACTTGTTTTATCATTGGTTGTCATATATTTCAGTACTCTGTGTCAGAGTTATGCAAACGGAAGCAGAGCCACCCGGTGGGGGTTTCCTTTGACCACGTCCTTGTGCAGAATACTGTACTGTGCTCACCACATGCAAATTCTCATGTATCAACCAATGCATTTAATGATCTAACTGCCGGAACAGACCTCAGTCGTGAAGCGAGGAGCGTCTGCAGAAACCCTCCTCGGGTGCACCTGTAGCAGCTGTAAGCAACACAGCAGACCCTCGACCACTCTCTCTGTGGTGACTCTGGATCCATGCTTCTGCTGGGAGCTGGATACAGCTATGCCCTCCAGGACTATTAATGCAGCGTTTTAAAACTCTAAGTGGATATTTTGATAGGCTCTGCTAGCCTGGGGCTTAGCAACACCCTCCCAACTTGGTACCAACCCAGAAAAACAACTTACCTCTCCAAGAGTAACTTCTACATTCTCCTTCTCATTCCAGAAATGAACATCCCACTCCCTATTTGTGCATGTGCTGAGCTCTTTCCAATCCCAAGACTCCACAACCATCAGCCAGAGAGACTCCGGCTCTAGCCCCCAGTAAACCTTTCTGTCTCCTGTTTTACCCAGGCAGATGCTCCTTCAGATCAGCAGTTAATATGTCTTTCTGCCCACCTCCCAAACTCCTCCCCAGCCAAAACTGATCAAAGTAATCCCACTTCTTTGTTCTCATTTGAGAGCCTCTGTAGCCCCAGCCCCGGAGGAGGCTCTCCCATGCCCGCATTAAAGGCCTCCTGCTTTGGCTCCTTCTGATCTCATTTTCTCTGCGCTGCTTCAAATTGACTGTCCAAAAATACTCAATCACATTTGTTAGCAGGTTATGAAATAAATATGTCAGTCCGATCAGTACCTTTCAAAAGGTGGAATAGAACAGACCAGCGCAGAATGCATCACGGTACATTGCACATAGAAGCACGGTGAGCCTTGCAATATTGCAAGAGCAAAATTGCTTTTTGAGACGTCTATTTCAGTTGTGTCTGTGTGTGCTCTCTATCCTGATTTGCAACATAAAATGTATTTCCATGGATTACTGGGAAAAATGTATGCAAAACACAGTGTTACAAATGATAAGATCCAAATGCATCTCTATATACAATAAACACCTATTTTTCAAAAGGCTTGACTATACTCACAGTAAGAAACACACACACAGTTCATAAGAGTACTTATGGCTACTTCACAGGTATAAAACATGATTTCCATTTCATTTTCCAAAGGTTCTGAGTGCCCTAATGGAAATGATTTTACTTCTGTCTTAATGATCTTGACATAAAGTTGGAAAGACTGCTGGCCTTTTTTCTTATTAAAAGTAATTGCCATATCTCCTCCCCGTGTCGGGAAGACCTGGCATCTCTCCTCCCAATAGCAAGCATGGGCTTGCTATTTTTGATGTGCTCTGTGAAGCCCCCTGTGTACCGCGAGGCCTGCCCCCTGCCTTGTGTACCAGAGCGGCCCAGCAGAACCTGTTTCCTGGCCTCAAGGCTTAGTTCTCTCGAGGTCTGGGGTTTGCAGAAATTGTGGTGGTAAAGTCAAGAGCACGTGGGCTTTCCCACCGTGCCATTAATGTGGGATGAGACACATGCACCTGGGTGACTTGGTGTCCCCATCTTTGCATAGAAAGGCCTGAGCATCTTCCACTGACCTTCCTTGGTAAGTCAATAGTGGGATCTGGGTCTTCAGAACACCTAGAAAAGGCAATGGGCGGACACCTTAGGTCTGGCATTATGTTTTGGAAATTCACATTTGCTTTTCAAAAACTTCTCTGGACTTCTCTGTGAGAGTTACTGAATGGCAGCTCCAAGCTGGGTGCTTTGTGGAACACAGTGAGGCTGTGATGCAGAGAACAAAATTCCCTTTTGGTCCAGAGGAAACTCTAGGGCCAGGATGGGCTGGAGGGTGGAAGTGGGCCAGTAAGGATGGGTGGGCAAATTCGCTGTGCTGAAGATGCCCAGAGCGCCAGCCGAAGCCAAGGCCTGTTCTGCCCCTGCCCGGTGCTGTGGGGAGCGCTGGGTTCACACTCGTGTGCCCACAGTGAATGTGCACCAGGCTTCTCCTGAGGGCCTCACACGCACACTCTCATCTCCCCAACATTTCTGTTCAGTGAAACTCACTACTGTTCCCATTTTACAAAGAGGAAAAACTGAGGTTGAAAGACGCTAAATAACATGGGCAAAGTTGTGTTTATCTCAGGATTGGGACTCCAGTTTTCATGACTAAATCCCTGCCCCGCTGCATGAGAGTGATTTCCAAAGTGAGTCTGACTCTTTCAAATGGCACCTTTCCCTTCCTTTCTTTTTATTAGTACGTGTGTGCAGTACACAGCGTTTACATCTCTTGTGTGGACTTGGTACACGCACATCCTAACTCCTTTTTTCCTGCCCTTTCCCTTCCCCATTGCCACCTTTTGATCCCTTCCCATTTGAGAAAATCTATCACCCTCCTTCTGACGGTTTATCTCTTATCTCGCTCTGTATTTATAATTTGGGTTTCTCATGTAAGAGACACCATGCAATATTTTAAGCTCATGTGTCTCACTTATTTCACTAAAAATTATGGTCTCGGGGTCCATTCATTTTCTTTCTTTTTTCTTTTATTATTTAAAGAAAGACAAAACAAAATAAAAACAGGCAGAAATAGTACATACTTTCAAAGAAAAGAAACAGTAATAAATCACTAGTTGATGTGTACATATCGTCCCCCCACAAATAGTTGTTCAAGATACAAAAGTGGAACATATAAATGGGAATTCAACCAGGGAGACTGCAAACAGTTCTGTTCAACTATCCAACAAAAACTAAGTAATATGGCTATCAATCCTATACATTTAGACATGAATGCATTTATCCATATCTTCATTTATGTTGAGACCTAACAAAACTTACTAGATTAAAATCCTTCTGAACAAAGATTAATAATATTGCTGGATTTCACATCATAACACTCCGGAATCAGCACTGGGTACTGCAGTGCCCCTTTCTTTCCTTCAAACTATTTGTTCATTTCATCATGTGTCATAAGATCAGGTCTTATAAACTGTTTATAGGTTTTATGCAAGCATGAGTCTTAACATGTATTTCTATCCTTTCTATAGTAGAGGGAGAAACAGAACAAAGCAGGACAGAACTAAACATATTCCTATAGACACATAAACTAAAAAGACATATAAAACTGCTGTATAAGGAGTTGACTCAAGTTTATCTTTCTTTATGCAGAGTAGGACTCCATGGTGTGTAAGTACCACATTTTAAAAAATCCATTTATCTGTTGATGAACAATTTAGCTGTGATGAACTGTGGTGCTATAAACATGGGTGTGTGTCACTGTCTTATGATGGCTTTCACTCTAGGAAGATACTGAGAAAGAGAATAATTGGGTCAAATAGATTTCTACTTTTAATTTTTGAGGCAGCTTCATACCGATCTATATAGTGGCAGTACTAGTGTACATTCCCACAATAATGTAGAAGGATTCTTTTTTGTCCAGCAGTCTCACCAGCATTTGTTATTATTTGATTTCTTGGTGATGGTCACTCTTTCTGGAGCAAGAGGCAATCTCAATGTTGTTTTGATTTGCAGTTTGCTAACAGCCAGCTATGCTGAACATTTCTTCATATATTTATTGGCCTACAATGGCGCCACTTCTAATGATAAACATAAGATATAGTATTGTAGAATATATGAAAACATACAAAAATTCCCCAAATAAAACAAAATTAACTTGGCTTTCATCAATGAATCCATCTCCCAGGTACATGAGGTAGACTCCGGGCTCCTTCATCCACTGGCTTGGGACTAAGTCCTCATGCAGAGCTGAAGACTGCAGGGTGCGAAGGACCCAACTCCTGGGGTCCCACTGGTTCTTCAGGGGCTCCATCTGCCTGCGGCCCTGGAGAGGTGCTAGTGAGTAGCCTTGGAAGTGGCTCGCCACCTCCAGAATCTCCATTATCATTGGCCCTTCACACTCCTAGGAAGTCAAGCAAATAAACACATCTGTGCTGTTCCAGTCTATGTCAAAGCCGCGAGCTCAAGTTACAAATGAAGCTTCAGCGCAGCGGTCCCCCCTCTGCCCACTGTCTCCACCAAGTTGCTACCCCTGAGCTCTTAAGTGTCACTGCCACTCCAAGGGACGTATGGGGCGCAGTGAGGCAAAGAATCTGCCAGATATTTGAAAGTACCCCTTTCTCACTGTGGCTTCTCCCCTCTTCCTACCGGCGCCCCCACATCTTATGGGGGAAGGCAAGGAGACAGTGGGCGGGGTCAGGACAGGCTGAAAGCCCCGCCCTTCCCATGGTGGGGGGTGGGGCAGTCTGGGAATCCAGAAGGAGGCGGCTGAACTTGCAGCCAACCACCCCGGTGGGGATCTCCTGCCACTTCTAGGCCACTTGACCTTGTGCAGACCATAAACTCCCCGACACTTGCAAGCTACCTGACAGGGAGGCGGGTGCAAAAAGGGGCTAAGTAAAGGCTACTGTTTCTCATTTCCTTGAAGCTGGTCAAAGACACAGGACACCAGTCAGAAGGGGTATCACAGAGCCACACGGGATGGGGAACGTGACGCATTCGGAGGGGGGCACACGCATGACAAAGGACACGAGACTCTTAAACAGGAGGCTCCAAGGAGACCTGCTTCTGCACTTCACTTGGGAGAAAGACATTGGTCGGTTTACGCTCAAGACAGTGAGGAAATGACCTTTCCTTTCCTTTTCAAAAACATCGAGGCCTCATTTATCAAACGGACTGCACTAATCTTCATTAAAGGCCAAATTGCTTTCATTTTCCTCATCTGAATGTAGTGAGTTCTGCAAAAATCCAATAGAGCTTCTCTCGCACCCAAGGGAGCATGTGGGTGAGACCTAGCTCTCTGCGGCACAGTCCCTGGAGCTCGGCTCTCGGTCCAGCCTGGAGGGCACGGTGACTTCTGGAAAGAAGGCTTCTAAAAATAGCTACCAGAGCAGTTGTCTGATGGGGACGGCGTCAGCCTCTGAGCACTTTTGACACTGCAGGCTGTCCTTTCCTCCTTGAAGGCTTTCTCTGCCATGACCACACGGTCCCTCAGTTTCCCTCTCCCTGCATTCCTAGGCTGCTCCTGCGTGCTCCTGGTCCTCTTGACTCGCGATTGCACCTTGAATGTTTGCTCCATCCCCACAGCCATCTCCCCAGCGTCTTCACGGAAGAGACACCCCCCCCCCCAGCCCACCAGCAGCCCTCGGATGCGACCTTCCCGCCAGGGGGCGCTCCTGCGAGCATCCCCTACTTCCGGCTGCCTTTCCAGACCTGAACTTAAGGCTTGCAAGCCTACCCTCTTTGTAAAAATTCTTACTTATGAAAAAGTACAACATAACACTGACCGTTTTAACTCTTTTAAATGCACAGCTCAGTGGTGTGAAGTACATTCACACTGTTGTACAACCAGCCCCACCTTGCTTTTGCTACTGGGAACAGTGCTGCTGGGAGCATCAGTGGATAAATATCTCTTGAGCACCTGCTTTAACTCCTTTGGGACGTGAATGCCAACAAATAGAATGTCTGGAGCAAGAGGGAACTTCATTTTTTTGTTTTTTCTAATCGGTATCAGGGATCGAACTCACGACCACCTGCTTACAAGGCAGGTGTTTATGCCGCTGAGCTAAATCCCCAGCCCCGGGAACTTCATTTTTGATTCTCCAAGCAGCTGCTATATTGTGTTCTATGCATCTGCACCATTGTAAAGTCCCACCAGTGCTGTCTGAACGTCAGCCCCAGACCCTGGCTTTACACCTCCAGCCGGCTCCACGCTGGACTTCCGTGCTAAGTTCACAGGGACTCTGTCCTCTCGGTTATTCAAGCCAAAAGCTTAGTACAGTCCTTAACTCTTTTCTCTTACACTCATATCCAGTCTACAGGAAGTTATGCTGGCCCCATCTGCAAAACATACACAGAATTTAGTTACGTCTTCTCAGCTCCGCGCGCCCCTGTGCCATTCCTCTGTCCTGAGCACCCCAAAAGCAGAGCTGAGCCTGGGGTGCAGGTGGTTTCTTAGAAGATGGTGCCAGGAAGCTGCTGGCAGGGAACAGGAAAAGCAAGATAGAAAGGCAGGAAAGCAGAGAGAAAGAAATTGTGTTTTGAAGGTCATTGCTGCAGGGACTGAGGCTCAGTTCCACCCAGGCCTGTGTCACCAAAGGATGAGAGTCCGTCCAGGCTCGTAACTCCTGTCACCAGTAGGCTGAGTGCCCTGAGAGGATCAGCCCACAGTTCTGGGTGGAGTGGTTGTGCCCAGCTTTGGGGAGGCCACTTACCATCAACTTTGAGTCTGGGCTCGCCTGTCGCCTTCTGAAGTCTTCCCTCATTCTCCTGTCTACGGCAGCAGCCCCCTGCCCAGCCCCTCTGTCCCCATTCCCCCTCCCCCATCTCTCTCCTAATATTGTCGCTTCCTGACCCACGGCACACTTTTGAAGTTTATTACCTGTCGCACCATACAACAAGTGCTCTGTGAGGGCAGGATGGTTGGTTTTACTCAAAGATGGATCTCAAGAGCCTAAAACCATGCCTGGCACACAGCAGGCACTCAGCCCACATCTGTGGCATGAGAGGGGGTCACACACAGACACAGCACTCTTAAAAGTTCCAGTTGGGTACTTCAGGGTTAGCTATCCTGGAGTCAAGGCCCTTTAGAAATGCCAGAGGGACAAAATACTTCTTTAAAGAATGCACTTTGAGGGACCCGGACAGACAGGTGGTGGGAAGCAGCTAGATTCACCAGGCTCCAGCTTATGCCTGAGCGGCCCTTCCTCAGGATGGAGGAGAGGAGAGGAGTAGCCCAAGGCAATCGCATCCTCTGACAGCACCATGGGGACCCCAAGTCTCCTGCGCCTGCAGCCCAGATGGCCCCAGGTGTGCCAACACATCCCTGCCCATCTGGACTTGAAGAGACCCCTCTATACTACCCGTCCTCATCTCCAGTGGCCTGGGGTCACTCCTCATCCCACGGGGAGGGCAGCTGGTGTTTTTCAGCTTGGGGGACCCAAGGTCAAGTTCCAGTGTACCAGTCTTGCCTGGGTAAATCACCTGGCCCTCTTGGAGCCTCAGTCTTCTTCTCTATAAAATAGGAACAGTGCTGCTTACAACAAAGAGTTTTTCTGAGCTCTTAAGAAAACATATTTTGTCAAGGGCACAGCCCAGGGCCTGGGTGACAGAGCCATCACTCACTGGCTCCTTCCACCGTCTGCCACAGAGGCCTATTTAGGGGAACAGACTGAGCCCGTGTCACTGCTCACCTTGCTCGACAGCATCCTCGACAAGCTTCCTGTGCAAGGTCAAGGCTTTCTGGTCAACCACCATGGAGCCCTCCTTCCCCAGGGCCTGCAGGAAGGTGGTCAGGGCAATGCCTCCCGGAGGACCATCCATCTCTTCCGGGGGCTCGTGATTGAAATGCGTGGGCAATCCGATGGTGATCAGCACGGAGTGGCCAAGGGACAGCGACTTGTGTTTAAAGTAGAAACCTATGCTGAGTGGTTTGGGTTTTTTGACTGTTTGCATTGTTTTTCCAAGAAGTGGGTTGGAGGAATGCGGCAGGGACTTTGAGTTACTTACCAGATGCTTTCTTTCCTCCTCCCAGCCCAGGAGTGAAGAGTCGTGGGCAAACAGGAGTGGAAATGACAGTGTCGCCTCTGACCTTGCCCTATACTTCTGGTGTTTTTCTCCAAACTCTTTATTCTTGGGACTGAAAAGCTGGTATCCAGAGCCCCCTGGGTGTCACCTGGTACAATGGCAGAGCTGTGGGTCCTCGAGTTGACGGAGCCCAACTCTTCCTGCTGGCCTAGGACGCTACCTGGTCAGCATTCCCTGGGTTGTGCTGCGAGGAGCATAAGCTTTGTTTTATTTGTGCATTGCTTCTTGGGTGTATTTGTCGAGGAAGTTTGACAAACGCTAACACAGGAATACAGAAGGAGGAAGGGACATGGCAGTATATGCACAGTGGAGTCCCCAACAGGAGATCCTAAACAGAGGACGTGGCACATGTATTTTAGTGCGAGGCAAACCCAAGAAAAGAAGACAGGAAAGGGAGAGAAAGGCCATTGAAGGATTGTGAGTGGACAAGTGGACTCCCAAGGGAGTGTTGCCCATCGGGGTGTTGACCCCTCCCTGGGCTGTGCCTGCTGTGGTGGAGAAGGTCCTGGGGGACAGAGACTGCAGTCCCCACCCCTCCAGGAGCAGAGACCAAGCTTAGGCAGGAAGCTTCCGGACGGGAGTCGCCCACTGCAGCTGCAGGCCAAACGCAGGCAGGGCAGGGGACACAGGTAGGGCACAGTGGCATGTGCTAGGAATGTCCACCGGAGGCTGCCAAGCTGGACCCAGCTGGGCAGCAGCCTCCTGACCTTTGTCACACAACATCATGCTTCTGTCTCCACTCAGGTCACCCCTGAGCAGGCAGTGCCACGTAAAGGCAGAGCATGGCTTAGGAGCTGTGGCTGTGGACGAAATCAGAGGTAGGCACAGGGAAGGGAAGAGGCACTGCCTCGCATTGGAGGGGTGCAGCATGAAGGATGTGGGGAGCCTATTCTGCAGGAACAGCTCCAGAACATCATGTCTGTGTGTCCTTGGCCGCATCCCTCAACCTCTCTGAGCCTCAGTTTTCCTAGGTGGAGAATGGGATGGTCCAGGCATATGAAGACTGTGGAGGCATATGAAGCATATGAAGGCTGTGCAAACTGGACCAGTTCTGTCCGGAGGGTGACTCTTATCTTAGATCTGCACATTTCACAGGAGCCAGCAGCTCACTTCTAATACGCGGCATCCACAGTAAAGCGGTCATGAGTATGCAGAGTGAGTGCTCGCTGTGGCATTGTTTATGATGTCAGAATAACAGGTCGCATGGTGATTCACTTGTATAAAGGAACTCTGCAAACAGTAAAAAGGATGCTGTAGAAGACCATGACACAGAACGATGTTTGCAATACGTTAAAAAGTAAAAGCAAGTTCTGAAATCATCACAGAAGATTCTGGTGCATCTACACATTCACGCAGAGGCTCGAGACGGAGGGAAAGTCCTTACAGGCAAGCGCGAAAGCTAGTACTGGCGTTTGCAGCGGGATTGCAGTGGGATTCTGGTAATTTTTATTGCTCTCTATTTTTATATCTTTTCTGATGCTTCTCTAATGCACACTGATGGGAAAAGAAGGACAATATTTTTTAAAAATTAGGATAAAATCTATTTCATAAGGTGCGGGGGGGGGCACCAATGAAACAAACGCACAGAGAATTTTGTCAGCTGAAAGCCAGACGTCTATTTATGATTTTATAATAAGTGCCAAGATTATTACATATAATTTATATTATATGTATTCTCCAGTCTGCTCAAATGCAAAGCAGTGTCCTTTTAAAATGTCTGAGCCGTACCCAATGAGTAATGCTCAATACACCCCACAGTGTCGTTAATCTTATATGTCCTTATTTAATAGAGTCAGAAACAAAATCATTTCTTGTTCTTGAGAATTGAAGACGGCCCTTCAATGACACTGGCGCATCCAGACAGTTGTAAATCTGCCTTCGGGTGACCTCACGCTTCAGCCCTGACTCCCAGACTGCAGGAACACGGATGGGCGCGCTGTGAGGACCGCCGATCATCCTTATTTAGCAGTGGGTGCGTGGCCGCTGGTAGTAAATTTACTTTCTGCTTCTTCCTTTTGAAAGTGGAAGTATTGGCAGAGTTAATAATTCATTTCTCCTCATGCCCCTGGCTGAGTGGAAGAGCCGAGCGCCTGGGTAAGACTACTTGTGAGGGAGAAAATATGGTGGAAAAAATGTAAAACATCCACCCAGGTGATCGACCACCTAATGTACAGCTGCGATGAATATATTTCCCCAGGTGTGTCTGCGATCTGAGGCTTGGGCTCCAGATTTCCTGCGCACTTGTAGGCAAAGCAAACCATAGTTTGCACAGAATGAATGGGTGAACCAGGCAAAGAGCCGTGCCCGGTGGCTTAGCAAAAAGATTAGCAAATGCCAATTCTCTGTTCCTGGGAGAGAAAAGCACCCATTTCTAAAGCTGTTCTGCTCGGGTGGGATCTTGGCTACCATGCCGGCCCTAGGAGATAGATGGACTCCCTGGCTGTCTACACCAATGCTCCACAAGGCACTGTTTTCACTCACAGTCACTAGAAGCAGCTCAGATTGAGGTCAAGTGCTGCCCTAACTATCTACTAGATTTGTGGACTTGGAAAAGTTTCTTAACCTTATTTGACTCAGTTTCCTTATGTGTTAAGTAGTAAGGGCTGTTTCAGTCACTGAAAGAGCTTAACGTGGAACATGGAAGCGCTTTTAGCAGGATATTTGACAGAGTGAAAACTCCCGAGATGATCGTCATTGTTCTTATTACTTGTTGTCACCGTGGGAGGGCTGTATAATTGTCAGGAGGCTGATGAGGAAACTGAGGCAGAGTCGACACTCCTGGGCATTTGCCTACAAGGAACAGACCACACACTACAGAGGGTGAAACAGCGCCCTCTGCTGGCGGCCTCGGTCAGACACTGAGCTCCTAAATGTAGGCGCAACTACAAGTTAAAAGCCCTCAACCAGCTTTGAGCAAACCTTTTTCTAACTGGGATCAGCAGACCCCCTGGGTTCCCGCAAACCCTGTCCCAAGCCTAGGAAACCAATGGCTTGCAAAGTGCAGAAAAGTTCTCCTTTTCCTGAGATGCAAAATACAATGTACATGATGGCTGCAAACTGCTGTGAGGTTGTCACCGTCCCGCTTGCTGGGATCCCCAGCCTTGTACACCTACGCCTGCTTCCAGATTTAAAAAAACAAAACAGTTTTATGCTGAATCCCAGAGAAACAGCACAAAAGGGGAAGATGGGCAGATTGTTAAATACATGCGTAATTTTTTTTGGCAGTGTTGGGGATTGAACCCAGAGCCTCATGCGTGTCAGGCAAGTGCTCTCATCTTGAGATACATCCCCAGCCCTTGTATGTGGATTTTTAAGAAATGGTGGCTCTCGCCTACCTTTGAACTATCCTCCTTCTTACCTATTTCGCTTACCTGTTTGGTTCTGGGCCACATGCCCAGCTAATACACTCACCCCTCAAACTTCTCACATGTTAGGGCTGACACAAAGAAGGAAGCAAAAATCACCCATAATACTATCATCCAGAGACCATCAATAGGAGTGTTTTGTTGCATGCATTTCTAGACTTTCTGGGATTCAATAAGCATTTAAAAAAATCATATTGTAGATACAATTTACATCCTGTGTGTGTGTGTGTCCCAGGACAGGACCTCGGGGCCTTAGTGCACGCTGAGCAAGACATCTACCACCGACCTGCATCCCCAGCTCCTGCCCTCACTCTTACCCTTTCCTCTGAACATTATAAGAATGATACATTTCTTCAGGTCATGAGGTGTAAATGCTTCGTTTCTTACCTGGGTCTATGGCAACTGTCAACTCTAGTTCTCTGATCTTCTCTGATCATCAGCTGAAGCTGACGCGATGCTGTAGTGCAAAGGGTCTTGGGGAATGAGATGGATTTCTGGAACTTTCTCAGGGGTGAGACACTGGGCTGCAGTCTTTGCATCTTTCAGATGGGTCATACTGTGCAACCCGGCATGCTGGTGAAAGCCAGCGGAGCATCTGCAACACACAGCAGGAGGGACTGAGGCCAGCCCTCCTTCTCCATGCCCAGCACATTCTCATCTTTCCACTGCGGATCGGTGCAGTGGCATCTGGACATTAACTCTGCCAGTGACACCCTCGTACTTCAAGTTAGAACAAGCTGACCTACTGCTAAATCAAGTTCTGTTTAAACAGTTGCCTCCGACTTCCGGTAGAGTACTGGTGAGTTTACTATGGCAGAATAAACGAGGTGCAGGCTAGAGCTGGAAGTTGTTGAATATCCCATCAGTTGAAGCTATGGAGAGCAGAAGGGATTCTCAGTAAATTGCGATGTATCTCAGCTCTTACAATGCATGAAACCCTCTTGCTTTGTTTCCTAGCAAATGTTAGGCTTGGTTCCCTCTGTGAACATAGCTTCTATTTTTTCTCCTAGCACTTACCATCTTGCTCTGGCTTATGCTAGTTTTATTCTTTAAGAGCACGTTCTCCTAGATTACAGGCCACACGAGGTGAGTCAAGATAGTTATTAAGAAGTAGCTTTAGTTTGAGATGCAACCTTACCCTTTCTATGCCTATTTCTTTGATTACAAAATAATGATAATGTCTCCTCTGGGTGTTGTCAGTCTTAAATTGGAAAATGAACGTAAAAGTGTCCAGCAGGGTGCCTGATCCAGAGTAAACCCTCAGTAAATGATGGTTTGCAATACTGAACCAGGCATGACTCTTATCTTCTTTATCTTGGTGCCTGGATCCTGGGGCTTAACAGTTACTCTACCTAAATCCATCCTTTCCGCCTATTATCTGTGAGTACTCTAACTCTAACCCTTCCAAAGGGGAGTTATCCTTGAAGAACGCTCCTTGAGAAGAGGAACTTCTGCTTATTCATTTAAAAAATCCTACGTAGTGCTTTGCACCCGATAGGCATTCAATAAATGGAGACATGAATTGAGTGAAGAACAATGTCTTGAATTTCACAAAAACAGTGGTTTCTTAGATTTCATAGAAAGCTGGAGTCAGCCAACATGTCAGAAGGTTAATCTAATGACGAATGTGTAACGTTTAGAAGTGATATATAAGAGGAAGAACTAATGGGTCTGATGGATACAAACATCATTTTCAGTAAAACAGGTCCCTCTTTAAGCCAAGTCCACATCAGACCAGTCGTCGGCTCAGAGTGTGACCCAAGGCTCTCTCCCCATTGGTTGTACAGTGTGCAGCAATTAATCTGTCACCAATAGAAGTTTAAATACTGAAAGCCTGAGAATGAGTCAAGGCTGACCCTGACCAATGACGTGATTTATCCGCATGTGGGATTATATATGCCATCACCATCCTTGCTAAAGGGCAGGCGTGTGTCGGGATGGCGACACCTAGGAGAGCGGCTTTGCATGGCGTCTCCCGTGGCTGATGGAAAGACACTCCGTATGTGTGGGCGTATGTAGACACCGCTGCCCTCTATACACACTCAGAAGTGGCTGCTCGCTCCCTGAAAGCTCCATCTTATCTCAAGCAACTTTGGATTCTCAGGATCTGAGCTCATGCCTGGCACACAGTAGGTGCTCAATACATGCACGTTGCACTGATGAATGTGTAGAAGCCTGTGGAGGTTGGCATACTTCACCAAGATTATTAGAGAATCTTTCCCTATCCTGAGTGCATTCTGATAGCTAAACGCTCATGAATTCTTCCAAAATAAACTGAGCTGCTGTAAGGCTCAGTTCTATTATTTCTAATGCAAGTGTGACTGAAATTGGCCAGAATTTTCCAGCACCTATAACAACTGGAAGAGTTACTATTATTATTATTATTTGAGGGAGGTACCAAGGAATTAAACACAGGATCTTACACTTGCCAGGCAGGTTCTGCACTGCTGAGCTATATCCCAGGCCCAAGAGTTATTATTTTTAATGTTTCTATCACATGCCGATCTTCCTGTGAGCCAGTGAGAGCATGCCTGTATGTCTTTTCATTGTAATATCCTTGTAGCCCTTCGTAAAAAAAAAAGTACTGACTGTATTGCTTTGCATCATGTTGCATATACAATCAGCCCTCTGTATCCATCAAATTATGAGTCATAAATATTTGAAAGAAAGAACCTATATCTCTGTTGACACATGCACTTTTTTCTTGTCTTTATTGCTACACAATACAGTATAACAGCTATTAACATAGCTTTAGATTATAATCAGTATAAGTAATTTAAAGATAATTTAAAATATACAGGAGAATACATAACTATTTTCTAAGTAAGAATACATAGGGGATTGGAACATCCACGGAGTTTGGCGTCCACAGGGGGTCAGGAGCTAGTTGCCCATGGATACTAGTGTGCTGTATGAAATGGTTTGTCTAGCTGTGTTTCTTGACTTCTCACATTGTTTTCAAGGCCCTACCAACCTCTGCAATGTCTCAAAAAGCCAAGCTAAAGGTTATGTCTTCTGTTACAGGGGGTTGTGATTCTTCAGGAAGTGGAAGTATATTCAATCAAAACAGTTTAGCTATATAAGACAGTCTGTCCTGGTGAGAAGACCCAGCCCTGCATTAAAAGAAACAAACTAGACAGTGATTCACAGAAGGCTCCAGACCCATGTCTGTGTCTTTTCCCCTGGTTTTATTTTTTAAACCAGTGTCCTGGAAGCCTACACTTTCAAGAACCTGAGCCCTTCTAGTTCTCTGCTAGGCCAGAGTAGGGGTCCCCAAGTGCCCCAGCACACTGCAGCTGCTGACGGCTTCAAGACTGGTCAGCTGAGAAGGCCAGAATACTGGGGCGTCCCCTGGCTGCCACACCACATGGTCCCCATAGTCAGGTTTGGGAAGCTCTTTGATTCTCAACAGTTCTGCAGGTGGAAAAAAGAACTGTAACCTCTTGGCTAGCACCAAGCAAGTCGGGGAAGGAGATGGAAAACAGGAATTGAGGCTGTAGCCACCCAGGACACTCCGTAACTTACGGTCTGCATTTCCCATTATGGTTTTGAACTTGAGATTTCAAACCTGGGTGATATCATTTCCTGGAGGACACTTGGGTACATCTAGCCCAACTCTTTCATTGCACAGATGGCTAACAAAGCCAGCATGAGTTTATCCTGACACAGGCTGAGTCACATCACACAGACCTCTACTGCTTACCCCTCACAGCACCCCCTAACCCTGGCCTCCCTCAAAGTGCTGAAGTGGACAGTGAGGATGTGGTGCAATGGGTCCAGCTGATCCCCGCCAAGGAGAAAGCTATTCATCAGAAACCTTCCTGAGGTGGCCTTGAGGTCCTGAGGGAATAAATGTTGACCATCTTGTCATGGAATGCAAGGTGCTTTTTTTAGACAGCTGATCAAGTTCAGGTAAAGGGACAGGACTCTGGCTCTCACCCAGGGCCAATCCCAGGCTCTCCTCAGGCTGGGAACCTTCTAGAGCTTCATCCCTCCCCCTCAGATGAGTTCACTCACTCTCAGATTGACATAATGCTCTAGGGATCAATGGATTTCAGTTTGAATGGAAGTTCTGAGCAAAACCTTCTCCTGCCCACACAAGCCACTGATAAGCAGCCCAGATTAGAGATCACTTTGTGCTCACTTCCTGGGACAGAGTCTCCTGCCATGTGCTGTTTCCCCACCCCAGGATCCGTTGAAGTTCACATGAATTTTATCTAAGATCGCTAGTGGGTTCTTTATACCTGTGGGCATCTATACCTTTAGTTCTGTTCCTACTGTTGTAGCTTCGGGGCCCTGTGCAGGACTTTCACCCCTGAAACCCCTGGGAATAGAGCGGGTTCCTGGCCATTTCTCAGTCCGAGTGACACTGTTGGAATCATAAGTGAGGGGGGACACTGACCTGGGTGGCCGATGTGGATGCGCTGTCCTTGCTCACCCGCCGTGGAACAAGAGACCTGCAGCGGCCTTTCCGGTTTGTCCTTAGAAATGGGTCTCACTGTGACCACCAGGGGGCAGCAGAAACCAGCAACGGTGGCACGAGGCACCGCGGTCCGACAAAGCAAGCGGAAAAATGGGAAAAATTGAAATTAGCCCAGATCCAAGCAGGGACCACCCAGAGTTCAAGGCAGCTGCATGAAGGAGGAGGTCCAAGTAGATGTTATAAAAATATACCTTCTACTTTTAGGTGACATCGAGGTGGGGGAAGTTTGCCGGTAATTACTGGTTTACAGCTGGGAATCTTAACCTTTCACGTGCCATGACCCCTTTGATAGGCTTTTGCAGCTCTGGACAGAGGCCTGGTCAGAGTAGTGTTGCTGATTCTATAAAAGAAAATTCATAGGATTCCTGAGGGATCCAATTATATTGTGAAAACTTATCAAATTCTGAGAAAATGGGATACAGCAATGTGCATGCTTTTTCTTCAACAGCTTCAGGAACAAAACGGCAATCTACTGCCACTGTGATTTTGAAGTGACGAATGGGATATTTTTGTGATACCAGGAAAAATGCTAATATGAGATGCAGACATCTATGATTTCTTTGAACATCCACAAAATTACAGGGTCTGCTGCCATTGATAATAGGAAGAAATGCTAGATTTTAGTTAGAAATTATAAATTTAGGGCTGGGGATTTAGCTCAGCGGCATAAGCGCCTGCCTTGCAAGCAGGCAGCCGTGAGTTAGATCCCCGGTACCGATAAAAAGGAAAAAGACAAAAAAAAAAAAAAAAGAAATTATAAATTTAAAAACATCTCTATTCAATTTCATGGGTCCTCTGGATTTTCTCTATGGATTTTAAGAGGCTGAGACCGTCATGGCAGAGGGACCTAAGGGATGGACTTTCCTGGGGAAGACAGAGTCTGTTTTTCCTCTAGTACTCACAGAGGGGACACAGGCCTGTCCCCGGGCCACTGAGTTCTGCTGTGCTCCTGCCTCAGTAGAAGCTGCCCAGGATGACCTGAGTGACTCTCACTGGCCTTGTGCTTTTCCCTTACTGTGAAGGTTTCTGGGGCCCACACTGGAGCTTATGAAGGATTCAGGGTGTGTGTGCCCTGAGCCATGATCCACTGGGGCAGCCTTGGCTGCTCTTTAAAGGGCTTGCTGTTGCCACCCTGGATGGAGCCTGGGTATGCCTGTCAGCCTGGTGTCTGCATAGCAGACTAGGCTTCCCCAATGGGCACCACCTCTTGTGGCCAGGCATCCTGGTGTCCAGTTGGCTGTGGAACTTGGGCAAGTCTCTCTCTCTCTCTGGGCCTCAGTTTCCTCACAAATGAGCGGCTTCTGGGTAAGCCAAGAGGCCCTCCCCTCTTGTCTTTGCCTCACATGACAGTGTTGTCTTGGGCTGCCCTGCCCTGGGTCCCAGCCAGCAGCTGTGGCTCTCTGCCTCGATCCTCCCTAGTTTGAAGCAAACCCTTCGGGCACCCAGTTTGCTGTGAAAGGCAGCGGCAGACTGTGGGCGGCCTTGTTTCTAATCAGAGGCAACTCAGGCTTCGCTGGCAGGAGCCCAAACCAGGACTTAATAATGCCCGGAGCTCAGGATGTAATCTCCAATCTGAGTCCTCTGTAAAAAACGGCGCCGGGAGCCTGGCTATTTGCTGCAGCCGCCATTGATCTGGCAGAGTGAATTCTCAGGCTTTTCCAAAAGGCAAGCAGGATGGGACCAGTGGAGTGGGGGACTCTACTTCTTGCCCCTTGTCAGGTGAAGGCTGAAAAAAGCTCAGAGGCTCAGTGGGAAGGCAGCACCCAGTGGCAGGCACATCTCGGGAAAGGCCACCATGCTACCTTTGGGACCACCAGCGGCTACCTCCAGCCAAGAAAATGACCCAGCTTTCTGGACTAAGACAGCACATCAGCCAGTGGCCGGGCTGAAGCTCTGCCACAAATTCCTTAATAGAGTTGGCCTCAGTCTCCCTGAGGTTACACGCACCCCAAATAGGGAGGATTTTCCAATATCGCTCCAAAGAACCCTAACTAACAAGTAGGCCAGACAAGTTCCAAATGAGCTTAGTGGATGTAGCTACAATAAACTGCCAAGAAGCACTACAATTGAGGGTTAGGTCGCTGCTGGGGATACCACAGTGGTACCTGAGGTGGGCAGGAGAGAAGCTAGTTCAGAAAGGATAACAGCTTTGCTGGGTTGCACAGCTAGCAAGTGGCTGAGCTGCGGCCACAGCTCAGATGTTTTTGCCTCTTGTGCCAGTGCCGTACCCCTACAGGAAAATGCAGGTTGATACACATTTTCAGGCCATTCTGCCCTGCCCTCGTATGCTGCCGTGTGGCTGTGACCTGCTGGGTCTCTTCTAGAGAGCTCGGCCTTCTCCAAGGCCTCTTCCAGAGAGAAGCTGCAGCCTGAGACAAAGGTCACCATGTCCTTCAGCTTCTCCGACCTCCTCCAGCGAGGACAGGTAGCCTGTGCAGGCACCAGACTCGTATTTCCAGACCTGGGGATGACCTGTCCTGGGGACACGATGGAAAGTTTGTAGGCTCTCAGACTCTCAATATGGATTTCAATAGTGCTTCTTTAGTTTTTATTTTTTGAAAAGAATCACACTATGTAGGCTGGCCTCACATTCAGTATGTAGCCTGGCCTGGAACTTGAAATCCTTCTGCCTCTGCCTCCTGAATGCTGGGATTATACATGTGTGCTACATGCCTAGTGGGCAATGCACTTTTTAAAAAGACACACAAGAGTGGAAGGGAAGCCTAGTGCTGAAATTTCAGGCGCAGGTCCCACAGCGGGGAACATTTTGGCGGTGGGATTTTGCAGGCTTCCCAAAAATGTGACCCGTTAGAAGCTATTTAATCAGCGTGTATATAATGCAGCCACTGTCTCCCACTGCACTGCAGTCCTTGTAATCTCAGCCTGAGAACAACCACAACAGCCAAAAAAAAAAAAAAAAAAAAAGAAAGAAAATGGTGCCCTGTCTGCCACGGCCACAGGACCAACAGGATACGAGGGACAAAGGAACCTCTCCAAGTTGGCAGGGAAGGACGCCTTTCTGTCCTGCAGGGTTGGAAGCGTATCATTCACTCCCAAGTCATTTCCTGAGCCAATTCTCCTTGCTGGGTACATGCTTGGTGACGGGGCTCTGGAGATGGAGAGGAGCCCTCCCCAGACCCTAAACAACTGGTTATCCTACCTTGATAGGTGAGACACTGTTGGAACCAGTTCAATACAGAGCAATAAACCTTAGCAGTCCAGGTAGAGGAGGGCCTCAGAGAATGGAGAAATCCATTTTCTGCTCTTGCTATGGTTTGGATATTGAATATTCCCCCGCGCCCCAGGACTCTGCATTGGAGACTTCCCCAGGCTGTGGAGCATTTGGAAGGTGGGTCCCTGTGGAGCTTTTAGCCAGCCTTGCCGCTTCTGAGACACAGTACCTGACACCCGTAACTTACAAGAGGAAAGGTCTAATATAGCTCACGGTTTCAGGAGGTTCAGTCCGTGATGGGCAGGCTCCAAGGTAGAATCTTCACGGGAGAAGGATGTGATGGACCTACATTGCTTGGTTCATGGTGGCCGAGAAGCAGAGCAGAGAAACAGTGCCGGAGAGGAACAGGTAAGGACATGGTACCCAAGGTCACAGCTCCATGACCAACCAGACTCACACTAGATGGTGAGGACTCTGCGAGGTGTTTGTTAATCCAGTGAAGCTGACACATCACAGCGAATGGTCACAGTCCCGGTGGAAGGAAGTTAGGGCGTTGGGAGCATCCTGTGATGGTGTATCGTGTCTCTGGCTCCTTTCCTCTTCCCTTTGTTGCCTGGCCACCATGAGGTGAGAGTCATGCATTCCCTCTCTGATGTCCTTTCTCACCACAGGCCCAAAGCAAAAGAGCCAGACATGGACTGAACCCTACAAAACCTTAAGGCAAAATAAACCTTTATTTTTTTTGTAAGTTGCTTATTTCTATTATTTTGTTACAACAATGGAAAGCTGATTTACACACTTAGGATGGCTGAGGTGCTGGGTCTTGAGGTATAAATAGGAGTTTACCAGTTGGACAAAAGCATAATCTAGGCAGAGGGAGCAGGCTAGGAAAAATATGAAGGCATCAAACACTACAGCTTATTGAGAGGTCAGATCTTAGGGGTCTCCAATTTGGCAAAGCAGGAGGCGCCAGAGAAAACTGTAAAGGAGCAACGTTAGCTCCTGCTGGTGTCTCTGTAGGACCCTCCCATCCTTGGAGTCCACAGAATGATAATGACTGGGGTCTCAGGGGAGCTTTCTGTGTGGGTGAGGCGGGGGCTGCCTGCAATGTCACAGTTAGGGGCAAAGCTGAGCTGAGGCTTGGTCACCACAGCTCCAGGAGGAGCTTTAAGGTGTCAGCCAAGATGGGCATTGAATGGGGTTTAATAGGACAGTCACATGATCAGATTTAGACCAGAAAATGCCACCTTGGTGGAGGGACAGAAGATGGGATAGGAGGAGGATGGAGGCGAACACCAGGATGTTGGACAGTCTAGGCAAGGGGAGGTGTGAGCAGGAGCTGGCCCAGTACGAGGGACGAGGACTCCGGGAGGAGCACTAATTACAGAAGCGGAGTCCCAGGACAGTGTATGGGCCGTCATACAGTAACATAAGAGCCCCCAGTGGATGCTTGGAACTGAGGCCTGTCCCAAGCCCTGTATATGCTGTTTTCTCTTACATATACATATCTATGACAAAGTTTAACTTGTAAATTAATCATTGTAAGAAATTAACAACTAATAATAACAGACTAATTATAACAATGTATGTCAAGAAGAGTCATTTAAAACTTTGACTTTTTATCCAGGCATGGTGGCCCACTCCTGTAATCCCAGCACTCAGGAAGCTGAGGCAGGAGGATTGTTCCAAATTGAGACAATCCTGGGTTACAAGTGAGCTTGAGGTCAGCCTGAACTGCATAGAGAGACTCTGTCTCCAAAGGCCAAAAAGACAAAAACAAAACAGAACCACAAAAACAACAACAACAAACCTACTAGTGACTATACATTAGAAAAAAATTTTTGACTTTTTCTTTCTGGAATTTTTCATTTAGTATTTTCAGATCTCAGCTAAACGTGGGTAACTGAAGCCATGGATAGGGGGCGCTGCTGAGTCAGAGCCAGCAGCCGTGCACCCCGTTCTTCTGATGCCTTCTGTTAGAGACGCTGTGCGTGTTTTTCTTCTGAATTCTGTGCAGGCGGCTTTCTGGCTTGGATGATGAAGTGACAGATGGCAGTACTCATGGGATTTCTCCAGGCTGGACTTCCTTAGAAATCCCAAAGATTTCACTGTGGGGTGGCAGCCAGGGATGGAACAGGTGTGGGATGAAGTGGAAATGGCAGAAGGTGACTTGCTCCTGAGCAGTGGTCCTGAGTGGGGCTCTGTGCCGGGTTCCGCAGGCTCCCCGGGGCCGGACAGAGGTCCCTGGTGACTGAAACACCTGGCTGTAACCTCTGGCCACAGGCAGACATTGACTCCCAAGGACCCAGGCTCTTTACCTGACATTGGGAACAGCACCCAGGGCTGGCAGCGTCCACTTCTCTGGCTTACTTTGGCCCAGCATGAGCACAGGACCTCGAGTGGCCTGGCAGAACCTTTCAAAAGCCGGTGCCAGGGACCTGGGCAGGACCACTATGCTGCTCTGGCAGAACCCTGGGAGGGGAGACAAATGCATACATAATTGCTATTTAATTTTGTGTTTGATTAAAGCAGGAGACACCCAGAAAATTGTACCTAAGCATACAGGTTGATGACTCTTCACAAAGTGAACAGACACACAATCAACACTCATCAAGAGACAGAATGTTACGGACACCCCCAGAAACATTATCTCCTGCTCCTGTCCACCTCCACCCCCGTAAGGGTGTCCACTATCCTGACTATAACCTCACATGCTACCTCTGCCTGCCCTTGGGCTTCGTAGATGAGAATCCCACGCCATGTGCCTAGGGGTTTCCTGTTACTGAACACTATGTTTGGGAGACGCATGCGTCTTGTGTATTTTACAGTAGTTGCTCAGTCTCACTGATGTGTGGCCTCGTCATGCTGTAAGTACAAACCCAAGCCTCCTGTGGATGGACACAGCAGTGTCCAGCTTGGGGTTATCACCAGAGTCGCAGCCATGAGCATTTTAGAACATGCACACTGGGGTACATACAGGTGCATCCCTGGATGGGGTCTACCTGGGGTTGCAGGGCGGATACGCAGTCAGCTTTAGTAGAAACCACAAGCAGTCCAAAGCGGCTGCACCAATGTGTGCTCCCACCAGTGGTGTGTCTCTCGTGCTTGGGATGCCTGTCTCTTCCATTCCAGCCACGCTGGTGGCCACGGGGTGGTATCATATTGTGGCTGCAGTGTGCATTGCCCCCTGACTAATGAGATCAAGATCCTTTTCATCTGCGTTACTAAGCACTTGGTTCTCCTTTTTGGCAAAGAGGTTGTTTCTGTTTTTTGTCTGGACAGACCAACTGAGCAGATATACAGAATCTTTCACTCACTTTGTGACTTAGCAGGCATAACAGATCTGAGAGGAAGACCCTCACTTATAACAGTATAACCTCCTCTGAGGCAGCCGCCAATCTCTGGAATGGGAAGTGTGTTGATTGTGGAGGGAACCAAGCTGAGCTTGGATTGGGTTCGGCCTCTCCCTGTGATCATGGGCAGCGGCTCTGCATCTTCGGCCTCACTTTTTTCATCTGCAAGATGGGTATAATCATTTCTACCTCAAAAACGTCTAAGCAAGTTAAAGTACATAAATTACTTAACATAGCAGTACTCAGGAAGCAGGGGATGGGCTTACATTCATTCAATGGAACCCTGTAAAGACATCTCAAATTATGGTACCAAAGAAATATATATCGATTACATTAAACACGTGTGTGATGTATCATTAAAGGAATAATACTAGGTAGCAAAACAGTGTGTTTGACACATTCTTTGTATAACATTGATAAGGGAAAGAACTAGAAGCGTGTGCATCTACTTGTTAATCATTGTCATCTCTAGGCTACAAGGCTGAAAGTGATTTTAATTTTCTTTGTTTTTCTCAATATTCTAAAATTAAGACTGCACGATTGAGCATTGGATCTTGGCTTTTTGGGTGCCAGTGTGGGGAGGTAGGGGTTAGTGGATCCTCGTGAATGGACTAACCCCTTCTTTTTTGGGTGGGGTCTTGCTCTCATGGTGCTGGTTCAGTTCCCACGAGAGCAGGTCGTGGTACAGCACCCCTAATGTCTGCTGTCTTTGGCCTGTGCCTGCCTAACGTTTTGCTTTCTGTCATGAGTCAGAGCAGGATGAGGTCTTTGCAGGTTGCTTGCTCTAGGCTCTTGGCTTCTCCAGCCTCCAAAACTGCAGACCTGCACAAACCTTTCTCCTTCATAAATTACCCAGTACCAGATATTCTGCTCTAGCA